TTTTTTTTTTTGCTAGAGATGTTTATTCTGGTCACTTTTTCTGCAGTAAAAGGTAAAAAAAAAAAACTGTAGGCCTACTCATTCTACACTAATAATAAAGAAGATCTACAATGATAATTAAAAGATATTTTGATGCATTTACTCCAAAAATGATGATTTAAGGTGATACTGTCCAACAATACCCCACTTTGCCTAGTGTTTTCCAAACTTCTGAAGGGAACTGAATCTAGTTGATATTTAGGCCTATTGACTATATTTTGCTGTTTTACACTGTAAAGAAAATACTTCAATTACAGCACCACTGTGGCTAAAAGTCAGCATGAATCTGGCATATTTTCAAATACAAGAGATATATTATATATACACGTCTTATTGTGAATGATTCCTCTGTACACACACACACACACACACACACACACACACACGTGTGTGTATGTGTGTGTGTACAGAGGAATCATCCACAATAAGACATGTAATATGCAATAAGAACCTTTTCATGGGAATGCCAGAACTATTCCTCCTTTGTAATGATTTTATGTTTAAATTGGTTTTAACAACTGACCCACAAGCTGACTGGCCCACTGAGAATAGTCCCGGTGTTCCCTATGGCCAGACCACTAGGTTCAGATACGTAATGGGTTTATTCTGGCCCAGACACTGACTCTCATTTTGGGGTGACAAAAAGGCACAGCATGGCCACACTATTCTCCATTCACTGTTGCTTGTGCATTCAATTCTTTAAAAGGAATTTGAGTCATGCTGACTATGTCAGTTTCAGCTATTTTTCACTATTGATGTATAATAACAACACTTTCAAAATACTGTAAATTAAAGCTTTTATATTTCTTCTGGTAACACTGATGTGACCATGTTTCATATGAATGACATATTAATGTGGGTCACACAGGGATTTTACATCGTCAACATTCTACAGCACCAAAGCACTGAACGGTAATTTTGAAAGAGAGAGAGAAAGAGCAAATGGAATAGAAGGAAAGAATGTGGAACATTTAGAAGAGGTTGGGTACGGAAGACAAAAAGTTCTTTCACACCTTACCACCCCCTCCACCACATGTTTTATTCTATAATAACTCTTTAGATTTCTTTGATTTAGTAAACAACATAATAGATAGTGATATATATGTGTCATTTTGGTCTAGTTAAAATGAGACCAAACTACTTTGGCCAAAATGTATTAGCATTTTCACAGGGCATTTTGTCAAGTTCTATTTCTGCAGTGTCACACTTGGTAGCCCCATTTACTGTGAAATCTTATTGGTCCAAAATCCCACTAATAACTAAACATCAAATATGTTCCCACCCATTGGCTGTTATTGCTGGTGTGTTCAAGTTGTCAGGAAGATTGTATTTTATGAGATAAAGACACATGAACGCCACCACAAAGTGTGCAATATTCTTTTGGGTTCAGTGTGGACTGATAAATTACTACTGATAAGACATGGAAGAAAGATTTAACTAAGTATAAAGCCAAAGAAGCCACATGCCCACATCAAACAGTTTAATTATGCTACACTAAATTAATGATTTAATCTGTGTCGTGTCCAATAACATGGGCATGTTGCCCAATTATTCTCTCTGATGAAGGTGAAATGATGTCCATGTAAGTGGCTTCTCACAACAGGGTGCAAGAGTTAGGCTACTCAAATCACCTCCAGCATCTGTGACAATCCATTTTTTGTTTTCACACTGATTAAAATGAGACCATATGAGGTCCAGGGCATTTTTCCTCAGTGGTTTTGTGGGTGAGAGAGAGCAAGAGGACAAGTAGAGAAAGAGAAAACTATTATTTCTTTTCCCAAGCCTGTAATTGTTCCTGCGTGTTTAGTGTACACAAGAGAGGAATCGTTCTCACGTTCCCTGATGGGCTTAGGGGAACAGGAGACCTTCCTTATCTACTACTTGGGGTTCTGAAAGTGAAAGAAAAAGGGAGAGGAAGCTGGAGAAAGTCAAAGCATACAGTGGAGAGGAGAGTGATAAAGAGAGGGAGTGTGTGTCTGGATTGGAGACAAATACAGCTCAGTCAGAGCGAAGAGAATCTCCTCAGTCCCATCTGCTCTCTACACAGCTCTCATTACACTCACAGGCCCATCCATCAGCCCGCAGCCACACAACTCTGCCACAGCCCACATTAATGGAAAGAGGAAAGAGAAAGAGATGCGGGGAAAGTGAAAAGGAGAGAAAGAGAAAATAAAACAATTTCACATGCATTTACAGGCTAAATTGGCCTGTGAAGAGGACAGAGCGATAAACTCTCTGATGATAAAAACGCAAAACTATCCTACAGCAATTGATCTCGAAACAAACAGATGAAACAAGGCCAAACATCAAACCGGTCAACAGAGGTGTCCGTATGCCAGTCATATAATGTTCTGCTCAATCTTTGATCAATGTTTTGCTTGCGGTGTTCGGCCAATCATAATGCACTGGGTCAGCTGGCCAATCAGAGCAGACTGCGCTTGTCAAAGGAGGGGGCTTTGTAGAAAACGAAGCGTTTGAGAGAGGCGGGGCATAGAGGACCTACAATAATGTACAGTATTTGAAAAATAATGTGTTTTTTGAACATTAAAGCATGTCAACATATTCTGTTACACCAAATACACCAAATAATGATCTTTAAAAAAGCATCATATGACCCCTTTAAATAATTTTGAATATCAACTGATTTTTTGTGTGTGCGAAGTGCACTTCTTTATTTAAGTACATGGCTCTTGTTTTTACATTTCATCACGCAATGCAATGCCACACATACATTTTAGCTTAAGTGTCCAAATACTTTTTGAGTCCACTGTATGTATATGCAGAGGCATTCATGCAGTGCAATTGTCTGCGAAAATGTTCTATTATAACAACATCTTTGTTTTCATCCATTTAATTTGACACAATAATTGCTGACAGAGTTTCAGCTCGATTTTCTTCATCTGTAATTACATTTTTAAGTGGTCTTAAGAGTGCAATGAACTTATCACTGCAGGGTGTCACTTTGGCACCACCAGAACCTAGAGGTTTTAATTACAGCAGGTGGAATTGTCAAAGTGTAGTATACTGTATGAGCAAATAGGTGCAATAAACAATCCCCATACATTGAGCACGCACAAAAAGTGTAGCTGCATGTGGACTCCTTACCTGCTCTGGGCCCTGAAAACAGATCCGACACAAAGGAGTCCTGACTCCACTGTCCGTGCAGCTGTTCAGAGATAACCTCTCGTCCAGCTTCTCCTTAGAGCAATCCTCGGATGAGCTGCAGCAGTCCAGCGTCCTCGGCGAATCCACCCCGCTATGATTCCAGTCTTCGCTCCCTCGTGTGTCCACAGCCTCACCTGCTACCGGCTGGTAATGTCCGTTGGTTAAAGAGTTCCTCTCCGTGGCGCTGCTCGTCGCATTGCCCTCCGCGTTTATTTCGTTCATGGGTGTGAAGGCAGGTGGCGATGCCGACGGTGCCGGTGGCCTGAGTAGGAAAACCTTCAGGTCACTGAACAAGACGCAACAGCGGCCTTTCTGCTTGTCCTGGCGGCGCAGCATCGGTCTGCGACTCAACAATCCCCAACACCATACAATGACACCGATAGCCAACAACATGTGCCCGTCTTATGAATAATGGAAAGGCGGTCTATGCTTTTAACCGGCCTATAATGCTAAGGCTATCTGTTACTGGACTCTAGCAGGTCACATAACAGAACTTACTGTTTGGTTTCCAATGAGGAAAGACACTTGTGCAGCCGGTTCAGTCTCGTGAGCAACACCGCTTTCAGCTCACCTCACTCTAACTGACCGTTTGGACATGGAGAAGGTGTTTATTTTCAACAGTTATTATTCTAATAAGAGCTACATCATCGCGCTAGTGTTTCCATTGAGAAGCTGACGATTGTGCGCACATGTAATAGTAGCTGTCAAAAGTGGTAACCCTTTAGTAACCCTGTTCGTAACCCAATGTTGATTCCGTCATCTTGAGTACCTCAAGAAAACCAGTTCATTCAGATGTTACCACGTGAAGCACATTTATGGTTACCTGACAAAACATTATCTACTGAGGGCGTTCACATCAACTGGCCTTATACTTACAAATACTCAAATCGAACATCTGTGGACAAATAACCCGATTTGAATGAAAAATATCGGGGATTCCCGCGAACAGCTTCTGACAAAGGAGCTCCTACCCTGAGGTACTCTTGCCTGTGGCATCTATTCATCAAAAGCAGGAAAACAGAAATGCAGGCTATTCGTCAGCAGAGCCAAACAAACGGCAGGCAGCCTTGGTTTGTCTAATAATTAAACAATTTGAAGTCTACGATATACACACACACAGTACACAATTTCTGTTCTCCAGTTCACACCGTCCTCGCTTATTAGCCATCATCCAAAAGCGACTACCGTGTAATGGTGTTAATGTGAACACAAAGTGTGTTGCGTGAAATCAAATCCAGCCACAATCATGCCAATTATCCAGCAATTGTCCTTGGCGTTCATCTCATGTTTCAGGTTCGACCGCTTACAAATGCATCCCGCACAAGTCCCCTTCTGAAAGATATAAGGTGCCAACGTCTTGTTAGTGCAGGCAGCCTATCTTCTTAAACACCCAGCCCTTGTTGCAGAAATCCCAAGGCAGTTTAGCTCACTGTCCCGTGTAATGTCAGACATATCTTTCGAAAATCAGTCCAGAGAAGAAACAGATTCGCTTTCGACGGTGAGGAAATATTTTTGCCATCCACAGTCCGTCGTTTTGTCACATCCAGCGCCTTTCCTTTGAATCAAATTGCTGGGAAAATACTGAAGTGGCTCCTGCGTGGTAATCCAAAGCGTTGCGGTTCATGCGACGATAGGCGTTGTGCAGATCTGTCTAACACGAGTTGTTATGATGATGATCATCAGTAAAGCCGGAGGATGCTGCTCTCGCTGCGGCTTCAGCACCATGTTGCCTGGGACAGCTCCCAGGCGCGGGCCTGTCTCCCTCCGAGAGTGTGATGCAAGCAAATCACGTCCTTACAATTTGCTCTACGTAATAAATAAAGTGCTCAGTTTCATCCGACCGGGAATCCAGTGGGATTCAAATCCAGCTTTTGAAACGTGAAGTTTTCTAATTCGAACCTGAGGAGATCGTTCTTGTAGTCTGCATTTCTCATGCATCCGAGCCACAAGCGGATTTGGTTTCAGCTCTCATCATGTGAGACCTGCTCACAAGCATGTGTTTCTAGGTCAGTGTTACCAGCGTTCTTCTCTTCGCCCCCTCTGAGCCGATAGACCCGATCAACTCCACCGCAGAAGATATCAAGTAAACGTTGGGCAGACATGAACTTTAAGTTCACAGCTGCAACTGCTGCATGACATTTTCCAGCATAAATTTCCGCTGTAGGAATCAGTCTTTGGAATGATTGAGTCTGATTGCAGCTCTGAGTTTTCACTGGGAAAAATACATTGTTAAACTTAAAGTGAAAAAAGTGGTGACCTTCAATTGTTATCTTAAAGAGCTGATTTAACCCATAAAATGTGACCCTGGACCACAAAACCAGTGATAAGGGTCAATTTTTTTTAAATTTGAGATTTATACATCACATGAAAACTGAATAAATAAGATTTTCATTGATGTATGGTTTGTTAGGACAGGACAATAGTTGGCCGAAATACAACTATCTGAAAATCTGGAATCTGAGGGTACAAAAAAAAAATCAAAATATTGAGAAAATCGCCCTTTAAAGTTGTCTAAATTAAGTCAATGCATATTACTAATCAAAAATTAAACTTTGATATATTTACGGTAGGTAATTTACAAAATATCTTCATGGAACATGATCTTTACTTAACATCCTAATGATTTTTTGCATAAAAGAAAAATCTATAATTTTGGCCCATAGTACAGTGTATTGTTGGCCTATACGTAAATAGACATTTCTTTGTAATTATAATGTATTTGATATCTTTCAAAAATTCAGAAAAGGAGCAAATTCACTGTCAAAGATAAGGAAATGTTTTTGCCATCCACAATATGCAATTTTGTCACATTTAGTGTATTTGCTTTTATTCAAATTGCTGCCAAAATACCGAAGAAAGCTGAATTTTATACTTTAGCCCTCTGGTGTTGTTCGGTCATTTTAGACTGGGAAAAAAATGTTTGAAAATTTAATAAAATTTAAAATTAACATAAAATCACTACTTCATCGGAATGGTACGAAACTCTGTGACTTTTATGGCAGTTGCTATCTGACCCCCATTATGCCTGAAAACATTGCTCAGTAACTAAGGAATACACAGCACTGAATATATATGGCTATACAGGCATCTAGTGGCTACACCCTGGTATTACAGGTGATTTTCTTTAAATTTTTCCACAAGGTGGAACAAATCTGCCTCAATTCAATGGATTTTGAAAACTTTTGGTTTATGTTTTAACTTAAATATTGCATTAATTGAAAAATTATATACAATTATTATTATTATTATTTTTACATTTTATACAGAAAATAGTCCATAATTTAGATATGAATATTAGTAACATGAAATACACTCAAAATGCAAAATATTAAATAAAAAAACATTATTGAAATGAAATATAGTATATTCATTTCATAAAAATAAAATTAATACAGGATTATGGCTTCCAGTCAGTTTTGACCACAAACAACGCAAACAGTGTGACTCCCAAATGAACAATATCAGAGGGGTAAACAATAGTTTACATTAAAATTGAATTTACTGCCTTTTAAAGAACAATATCATTTTCACCATAAGGTAACTTACAGTCAAACAATACTTTTCCCATTAAAATTACTAACTACTTTTCTACAGTGCACTGAAAGTTTTGCCAGATATGTCATTCATCAGGCAATATCCAGTTTTATTCAGGTCAATAATATGATTTTATATAATTAAAACAACCTGAAAACTAGGTTACACCAACAAAAGTAATTTTAAGGGTTAAATCATATAGTTCCTTAAGGTAACAGCTGCCTATTTTTTTTTATTTGACAGAAAATCTGTTATAAATATTATACTGACCAAATGATAAAATAAACACTCTCGGTCAAGTAAATTCTACTTATCAAGAAAAGAAGAGTATAGATTTTTCCTGTAGGGCAAAGTATAAATTCCTCAACAAGTTGAGACAATTGAGGGAAATACACAGAATAGATAGAGACATTTGTCTTGCAGAAACACTAAACGTCCCTGGCAGACTGGCCTGTATCTTTCACTGGCTGTGAGCCATTTCACCCATGATGTGAAGGAGAAATTCAACTTGGAAATCTCAGCATTTCTGCTGTACGTGCCAAGAAGTTCCCTTTTCTCTATGTGCTCAAAAAGACAAAACAAAAATTTGTTATTTAAACATTTTTGGGAATTGTCCCTTGGGTTTCAGAAATTTCATTGGTTATTTTTCTTAACAAAAGGCACAGGCATTTTAAATAAATTCATAGATTTAAATATCCCATGAGATTCCTGAGCTAACTGGCTTCGGGATACTACTGGCATTCATTAACACACTGAAAAAATGCTTTGAACAGCATTCACCAAAGTAGCTAAAATATGAACGTATCATATTTACAGTATCTAGTATCATTTTGTTGAGACAATATTGTTTCACAGTTAATTTGGTTTTGTTTTATTAACTAGTTTAATAGTTTAAATTGAAAATTTACCAAAAATATACTCACTCTCAGGTCATCCAAGATTTAGATGAGTTTGTTTCTTCATGGGAACAGATTTGGAGATATTTAGAAAATGAATTTTCTTTTATCACTTGCTAACCAATGGATTCTCTAGAGTGAATGGGTGCCTTCAAGGAGGGTCGGAAGTGGCAGTATGGTAGGGGCGTAACAGTATGGTACATCATCACAGTATGGTGAGGGGCGTAACATTTCCGTCACACGCTTGAGGTATTCGGCCAATCATAACGCACTGGATAGCTGGCCAATCACAGCACACCTCGCTTTTCAGACCGATGAGCTTTGCAAAAATCATAGAGCAGGGGCATAGAGGAGAAACAATAATGTACAGTATGTGGAAAATAATGTGTTTTTTTAACCTTAAATCGCATAAACACATTTCATTACACCAAATACACAAAATAATGTTCTTTTTAGCAACATCATATGACCCCTTTAAAGTTAATGATGGATTTATCTCTTACAAACATGCAGCTTTCCACTTAAGACATTAATTGATAGACTGGAGTCATGTAGATTATTGTGATGTTTTTATGCACTATTTGGACTCTCATTCTGATGGCACCCATTCACTGCAGAGGATCCATTGGTGAGTAAGTGATGCAAAATTTCTAAAAATCTGTTCCCATGAAGAAACAAATTCATCTACACCTTGGGTGACCTAAGGGTGAGTAAATGTTCAGCAAATTCTGTCATTAATCGTGAAAACAGAAACTGTCCAAGATTTTAAAATATGGTCAAAATCCTCACGACATCCAATTATTTTGTCTCACTGTCTCTAGGTCACACTCACATGCACATACATAGGAACTACATCTAGAACTCTAGCAGATTTCACTGGAATGATGGGTAAAGCCATCGTAACGAATGGCTTCGTGCATGTTCTATAGGAGGAGCTGCAGTGGCTCACAGCCTCTTCCACACTCCTGTGAAGATAAGCCATGGAGACAGAAGAAGGTAAACCAGGGATAAAGAGCCACGCAAAGCCCAAACCAAGGCTAAGAGAGCTAGTCATGTGTAAACCGATGGCTCAGTT